AAAAAACCAAAAATCCTTTAAAATGTCTCTGATCAGCTAGATAAAGTAATATCTTATGGAAGGTTCAGTGTTAGAAAGGATAAGGTCTTATGTACTGTCATAGTAAGGTGTCCATGAGACATCAAATGAAAAAACAAAAACTACACACTGGCACATAAAATGCGGTCCTGTTTTTGTGGGGAGGAGAAAAGTGTCTATTTTCTAAATGACTATACATACAAAAAATCTGGAAGGATACACATGAAGGTGTAACACTGGTGAGTTTTTAAAAAGGGATTTTTGGGGAAGAACGGGAGAATTTTAACTTAATATGGTTCTGGATTATTTGAAATTTTTGCAATGAGTACATGTGTTATTTTTATAATAGTAACTAATTTTTAAAATCTATAAAGATAAAGCAGCATAAATAGGTTTCAGCTTATTTGATTCAAAAAATTAGACAATTCACTATCAAAAAAGTTGAGGAAAAAATACACAGAAGTGCTATTTGCTTTTTAAAATGCAGATTTTTTTGTTTTGGTTTATTACTACTACAATTTAGCCATCTGATTATATTCAATTAACACTTTGATTATATTCAATTAACACTTTGAATAGCTGACATTATAACAAAGCATGATATAGTTTAAAAGTTAATATACAAGTAAATTATACAAAATATAGACATCCATATTTATCCAAGAAAAACTGAGATGCTACTCTTGACTTCCGGAACTTAAATAGCTAAAGAAAAGCACACTGTAGATTTTCAAATAGAAATGTCTATTCCACTTAGGCAAGAAAATAAAACATCATCAAATTTTATACTACTGTTCTTAGGAAATAAGGTGAAAATACACTCTTATTAAACTCCTTTACTACAGTTATTATCTTAGGGTACATGAGTAAACACACAAGATAACCCAACAGTATCAAATACATCTACAGTAATTATCTTTTTAAATTCAGAGATTAAATTTCTAGCACCCTCAACTACCCCACTCTAAACAAAGTGGAGAGGAGGGTCCTTTGAGCCATAATATAAAAGGTCTTGCATGTTACTTTGGAAAAGAAGTGGATGAGAGATCACAAAGAGTTTATTCAGTCTTTCATAGGAAAAACAAAAACAAAAAACTAACTTTAAAAACCTTTCTTATCTGATCTTTCAGAATTCCCAAGGTTAAAAAGTTAGATTAGAAAAAGGACTAGAAATGTCCAGCACCCAAGAGCAGGCAAGGAGGAGCTGACGGGACGACAGCGACAGATACAGATATTACCAAACGACAACATACTCAACGTTTAGCACCTGCAGACTCACCAGCCACGATTTTAACTTCCTTTAAGTGACCCCAAAGATACACATATAATGTAACTTATAATTCATTGAGGCATAAATACGAATTTACCCAAGTCAAAAGAAGCACACGGAGCTAGTGAGTGGATCTGGTGTTTACATCTCAAAATATCTTTGCTCTCTACTGCTAATGTCAGTGATACAAATGAAAAAGTCAAGGAAGGTAATGGCTCTTAGCCAGAAAATAAAACTTTTGGATAAATTAAAGCATAAGAATTATATATGTATTTACAGAGTATGATTTTTCCCTCTAGGAAGGTCTTCATAAATATGGGAATTCATCTTACTATATGATTTACTGAGATAATGAATGTGACATTGCTTGATAAGTTAGGACATGCTAGACAAGTGGAAAGCACT